CCCACCCCACCCGTGCTGCCACCCCATCTCTGTCCACCTTGTGCTGAACATCCAGCAGGGACTGTCTGCGTTGCCCTTTCGGACAGCCCAAAGCATGGTGTCGGGAAGTGAGGGATGAGGGCTGTGCATGCTGTGGCTTAGGGCAGTGCCACGCTGGGCTTGGGGAGCTGGAGCCAATTGTTCCATGGGTGACACGAGGTGTCCTATGTCCATCCCAGGCCTTCAGCCTTCTGTCCCATACCAGGAGGGCCAGCAGGGCATCCCTTGCCTCTTCTTGTCTCTCCCCTCCTTCTCTCCATGAAGGAAAGAGTTCCCAGGCATTGTACCTGGTGCTGGGGACGGTGGAGAATGACACCGAGCTCCTGCCTCCAGGCCTCCCAGACCACCCAACACTACTCGCCCATCTTTCCACCTTCTCTGCTAGCACATTAACTCTTTGTTGGCACCATCACCATCATCACCTTATCTGATTGCCTAAGTTTTTCATGGGGATGGGGACTATGCATGTTGTTTCTTAAAAAGGAAACATTTTGCTATAATAAGGACAAGGACAATGAACATCATTTGCTAAGGGTCTCGGGTCTGCCTTGCACAGTGGCTTACCTAACTTCATCCTCACACCGTCCCTATGAGGTCGGTACCCCTTTCATCCTCATTTCACTGGTAAGTTGACTGAGGCTCAGAGAGGTTAATTTTTTTTTTTTGCAGTTTTTGGCCGGGGTTGGGTTTGAACCCACCACCTCCAGCATATGGGGCTGGTGTCCTACTCCTTTGAGTTGCAGGAACTGCCCTGGAGAGGTTAAATTTAATACTCCCCATGTCCCTTGAAGAGAAAGCCCCTCAGGATTTGAACCCAGGTCTCTGGAACTCTACCATCCCAGGCTGGAAAGGAGTGAAAGGAATGGGAACAGCAGAGGCAGAAGGGAAGGGTATTAATCTGAATGGAACAGAACCAACAGTGGAGGCGGACAGGCAGCAGGCTCAGATGGGGCAGAGCTGCCCTTGGCCTCGCGGGTGTCACCTAGGTTGGTCCTCCAGGTGGAAAACCCCACATGCTGAGCCGTGGGAGCCGAGCCCATGTGCTCTGGGTGGGAGTTGATTCCTCATGGCCTCAGTCCCCATTTGTCACTTGCAAAGATCTTTTTGCCTAAAATTAGCTGGACATGAGCAGGAAGGCTAATTTATGCATGGCCTGGAGCATTTCCTGCAGCGTGACTCAGAGGCCAGGTCCTGCTCACGTCAGTGGATTAGGGGTAGGGCATGTTGGGAACAGCAGCTCGAGTCCCGTCTGGAGCCAGCACAGCACAGACCATGCAGCTTTTAAACTGGGGGCTGGAGCCGGGGCCAAGCATGTCTCTAAGTCAAAAGAGGGCCAGACAGATGCTGCACTTGGGGAGAGGGAGGAAACTGTCCTGGCGGTCCCATCCTACTCAGGCCTGACAATGGACGCTTCGGAGTGCTGTTCCCAGGTGGACATTCTTGGCTCCGAGCTGGAGACACACAGCTGTGGTGTCACATGGAGTTGTGTTCAAAGCCTGCTCTGACATGAACAGTGGTGTGGTGACCTTCAGCCCTCATACTCTTCCTCTGCAAAATGGGATAACAACACCTGCTTCCAGGAACGTGTGCAGTAAGGATGCCGAGCAGCCTTGGGAACTGTGTTCCCGATGAGCAGATCCAGGACAGTCACATTCCACCCTTCTGGAGAACGTGACTGCTTTTTCCTGAGTGATGAGACTCATTGTGGAAACAACAACAACAAGGGCTGGCATTTATTGAGCTCTTAGGTGCTGGACACTTGGCCTAATCTCATTTAATGTTTACAACCTATTTTATAGTTGAGGAAATGGAGGTCTTCAGTCTCTGGGGCAGATTCTTACCATACAGAACTACCCATGTGTCAGGGACTGTTCTAAGCTACTTTGGTCCTCACCACAGCCCTGTGAGGTCATCACTATTAATACCCCCAATTTACAGATGTGCAAATGGAGGTGCAGAGAGGCTGAGTGACTTGCTGGGAGTCCCAAAGCTTGTCAGCAGCAGAGCTGGGTCTGGAACCCAGGTCGCCCAAGTGTAGGAGAGTATCGTGCTCTCTGCCTCTCCTCAAATCTCTTCCAGCCCTACCTCTCCCAGTACCATGGGAAATCCTTCTAGGGACTAATGAGGCAGGAACTCCAGTAGACGTTATGATGGGCTTTCCTCCTTCCCAGAGATCTTTCCCGTCAGAGATCTCATTTGGTCCTCATGAAAAATTTGGGAACAAATGCCCAGAGAGGTCAGATGAAAGGCCAAAAGCCACACAGCTGGCAGGCAACACAGCAATAGTCAGAGTTGTCATTATTATTTCCATTTTACAGATGAGAAAACTGAGTCCTTAATTTGCCATATAAAGCCCAACTTTTGGCAGCATACTCTTCTTCTGTGGAATTCCCTCTAAGAAACATCGCTCTAGGCCATGTTACATGCCTTCCCTTCTCTTTCCTCTATAGTCAAGTCCAAATGCCTCCTCCAGGAAGCCTTCCTTGAATTCCACTACCCCCCTAGCTTTTATCACTCCTGTGAGTCTCAGGGCCCTTACTGCACTTGGTCTCCATCATTTGCTGCTGTTTGGGCTGCTTAGGTATCTGAGAGCTGCGCCCTGTGGGCTGGGACTCCGGTAGGCATTGGATGTACGAGGAGAGCAGACAGGGCTCCTGCCCTCAGGTACGCACACGCTCCCCCAGCAGTACAGAGTGCAGGATCCAGGAACTACTTGGCAATGGCCCTGCACAGTGCTGAAGCTTGGCTATGTGCTGCTCAATTCCCTAGGGCCTGGAGAGCTTTCCCATGGGACAGGAGGGTGGATTTCTTAACCTGGGGTCCATGGCCTAGCTTTGAGTGGTTCTAGAAACCCAACAATACTGTGAGGCACATCTGTTGCATCTGGGGACAGGAACTACAGCTTCTATCAGGGTCTGACCAGGGCCCAGAGACATTTAAGAATTCTTGACTGAGAATTCTTAATCAAGTGAATCTCCTGGTCCCCACTCAAAAGGCAAAGGCCACCCGGGCAACCCTGCCTTCCAGCAGGCCTGGTGATCCATCCTGATGGTGGAGGCTATTAGCAGAAATGGGTGACCACATGAGGCTGAGGCCAAAAGTCCCCAAGCAGAGCTGATACCCATCTTAGGGCCACATGAGGCTGTTTTCAAGCCCTGAGCTGGAATCACACTGTGAAGAAAGGCTGCTTCCTCTGGTCCCACCCTTCCCACCAAAATAAAAGAGCAGCAGGCAAGAAGGTGTATCTAAACTTCCCAGGCTCAGTCCGTGGGCAACATGCCAGTGAGAGTAGTTAGTGTGGGAAGAAGAACCAGTCTTAGTTTTTCCTCCAGACCCAGACGAGCTGATACAGAGGGACACAGATACTGGGGAGACGCTGGGCACAGTGGGGTGCAGCACACATGCTCCCGAGGGTGCCTGATTGGCCCTGGCGGGCACCAGTAGCCTTTGCAGGACATGCATTCAGGACAAGAGTCCAGCAGTGCCCAGGATACAGGTTTCTCCAGTCCAGAGGCTGCCTGGCTCCCAGGGTGTGCACTATACCTGGGGAAGAGACGGCCCTTCCCTTCTCCTTAGAATAATCATGGCTGCCACCTATTGAGCACCGACTGTATGTCCAGGTATACACTAGGCACTGTCTGGTAGGCATTGGCTCATTTTCCAGGGGAAGAAACTGAGGGTTGCTATAGCCTCTCCGTAAGTTGCAGGGCTGGGGGAATGTCAGGGAGAGCCTCAGCCCCATACCTTTGGGTTTATGTGAGAACTCTTCTCCTTTCCAGTAAGGGGAAGGTGTGTTGGGACAAGTAACCAAACTCTGAGCTCTGGTACCCAACAGGGGCTAGCTTCCCTCCTCTCGGCCTCGTGGCAGATGACCTAGGTTTGGCCCTTTGCAGGAAAGCCCGCAGGTGCTGAAACCCTCTCTCTCTGGAGATCCCTGGTCTGTTCATTTTGGCAGGTGTAAGAAATCCCCTCTTCCAAGCTCGGTGCCTGTAGCTCAGTGGTTAGGGCACCAGCCACACACACCAGAGCTGGCAGGTTCCAATCCAGCCTGGGCGTGCCAAACAACAATGACAACTATAACCCCAAACTAGTTGGGTGTTGGGGTGGGCTCCTGTACTCCCAGCTACTTGGGAGGTTAAGGCAAGAGAATAACTTAAGCCCAAGAGTTTGAGGTTGCTGTGAGCTATGATGTCGCGGCACTCTACCCAGGGTGACATAAGGAGACTGTCTCAAAAAAAAAAAAAAAAAAAAGAAAGCCCCTCTTCTATGCCCGGGACAGGACAGCCTAGGGCATCTGTCACCCTTCCCATCGCGGCCCATCTTCCTGCTGCCTAGTCTGCCTAGCGCTCTACTGCCATGGAGCTCCAGAGCCCAGTGATGCCAACTGGAGTCTGGCTTTGGGGGAGGCAGACGGGCAGCTGGAATCAGCTGGATATCAGCAATGTTGCAGTTCCATACTCAAGCCCACTTGAGGGAATTCCTGGGGTCTGGAAAAAGGGAGGATGGGGCCCATGTAGCTAGAACCCCTAATCTAACCACAGTAGGCTAAGTGTGGGAAGCAGGAGCTCTACCCGGGCCTGGATGCAGGTCCCATGGTGGTCTGACCTGGTCACCCTCCTGCACCTGCCTTGGAGACCAGATGCCTGCCAGCTTTTTAGGATGCTGAACCTGCCCTGTGCAGCTGGAGAACTGTCCCATAGGGCCAGTTGGGCACCCTGTTGCTGGAGCAGGCCCTGGGCCCAGCTCTCCTCCTGTGGTTCTCTCTGCAGGTGTATTGGGTTAGAGCCCAGCTTGTGAGATCCTGTTCCCTGGCCTATTGACAAGACACTAGACACTAGAATGGTCACTCTGGTTGTGTCTGAGACACCCCTGCTGTTAAATGTTGTGATTATGGCCATGGGGACTGACGCAGATGGTGGCCCTCTGACCTGTGGCCCTGGGTTTGAGCCTCTTGCACCTACCTTCGACAGGTGAGGTTTTGAGGCGCCGGCAGATGGCTTCGGTGTCCCCGTAAGTTTCCTTGATCTTGACCACAGCCTCGGTGCCCCGCAGCTCCATGAGGGAGCGGAGCTCCTCCATCGTGCACCCGAATTCGCCCCCATGGCTCGACTCATTTCTTTGGTTTTTGGAGTAAAAGTCGCTGTTGGTCATATCACCCATGTCTCCTGCAGTCCCTGCTCGGGGTGGGCCCGAGGGTCAGCGCTGGACAAGAGGTGACGGCTGCTGTGGCTGTCCTTAGCACACCCTCACCGGATGGCTGCAGCTCTGGGTGGCCAACTCTAGGTCCCGGGGGGATGGGTGGCCGAGGCGGGCTGGCGACAGTGGTGGTGAGCTCCAGGGGGCGTCCCCGGGCGTGGGGCGAAATCCAGGGGCCAGAGGGGCTCAGGGCTGTAGACCCAGGAGTCTCCATTCAGCGGGGCCCATGCTGCTCCCTGGAGCTGGCATCTACATGGTCAGGGGCAGTGGCTCCTGTGGGGATAAGCACAGAGTGGGTGACAAGGGTCTAGCCTCGTGGGACAGGTGCTCAGGGAGGTCCCATGCACACACACATACATGCCTGGGCTCAGGTGTTTCCTACAACACCCTCACCCACCAGCACATGCTGCAAATGCAGATGGCACCAGCACTCACTTGGGCACCCCACAGTATGCTCTCTGAAGGCACAGCCTCACAACACACTTTAACCCCAGCTGTCTACTGTGTCACGTAACACACCAACCTCACAGCGCACCCTCTTAGGCCCTGCCTCACTGCCACACACTTGTACTGACACAGGGGCCCCACTTCACACCACTCCGATGGACACCCCCACCTTCACGTTGTCACAGGTTGTCATACTTCTAAGCACATAACTTAACATCCTTGCTCCCTTCCCTCAAAAATACCTGTACTCATAGGCCCTCTGAGCACACCCAGACCTGGTTTCCCTCTTTCTCTCACTAGCCTCAGCATGCTTACATATGCCCCAAGCCCACACAGTCTGGGACATCTACCCTCTGGACACAGTCCCTAGGCTCCCCCCCACAGATGTCCCCCACCACCCATGCTATCAATCCCCACCCTCACCTCCTCTTCTCCCACACTCCCTCCTATTCTCACAAGCATGGTGATGCGAAGTAGGTCCCCACTGTCACCCGCAGCCCCCAACCACGTTAAGGCCCTCAGCCCAGCCACAGAAGTCAGCTCACGCATATCCATGAGAAGGTCTTGTGCCCAGATCTTTGTCCCCAGCATGAGCTCAGGTTGTGAAGCCCTCACCTGGCGGCCCCCAGAGATCAGGACCACGGACAGCAACCGACCCTTCCTCTCTGGAGCCCGGCAGGAGGAGGGAGCTCCGGTTCTCACTGCCCGCCCGGCCACCCTTGCAGAAGTGCGGCATCTGTGGGGCTGCCAGGAGAGAATCCAATCCTCCCGGACACCCAACACCGGAGGCTGAGGCCCTGGCAAGCGTTGGGTGACAAAGGGCCCCTGCTGAGCTCGGCTGGGCCTGGCACGGGGACAGCTGGCCATCCTGGGTCCAGGGCAGTGAGGGGGAAGGGGATGAGAGAGCAAGGTGGCACTGAGGCCTCTGTCCCAGCCCCAACTCCTCTCCTGCCCTGAACCTCTTCTTCACAATCCTTTTGTCTTTTACAGATTTGGGAGCTGAAAATTCTAGGGTTAATTTCATTCTCCCACCAAGGAACCTGAAGCTCAGAGAGGGAAAGGCCCTTGTCCAGAGTCCAGAGGAGAGAGAGAGAGGTAGACAAGAGAGGGCGGGTTCCCGGCCCCCAGCCCTGAGCTCTTTCCCCTTCCCCTAGGGGGCGCTACCACCCTTCTCTCTGAAGAGCCCAGGCTGGTGGATGGACTGAGCCAGGCAGTGGTTAAGAGCAAAGGATCCAGAAGAAGAGTGATTTGGGCTCAAATCCCAGCTCTCCCAAATCCTGGCTGTGGGACCCTGGGCAAGGGCTCTCGTCTGTAAAATGGGGACAGTAACAGCCACTCTCCCCTCCACCTCCCCGTGTCCCAGCCAGCCCTGAATTTACTGGGAATTAATTATAAACCATGTTCAAATCCTGTGTTTCACCTAGGGTGTGGGGCTTCCTAGTCACGGGTCAGGGGGTGCTGAAACCACAGAGATGCCTTTAATGCCTTAGAGAAGGGACACTTTTACTCAAAGGTGCAGTAGGAAGCATTATTATTTCTTCTTTTTGAAACAGAGTCTTGCTCAGTCGCTGTGGTGTCATAGCTCACAGCAACCTCAAAATCCTGGGCTCAAGGGATCCTCCTGCCTTAGTCTCCCAAGTGGCTGAGACTATAGGCACCTACCATGATGCTCAGATAGTTTTTTTCTATTTTTAGTAGTGACGGAGTCTTGCTCTTGCTCAGGCTGGTCTTAAAGTCTGAGCTCAAGCAATCCACCTGCCTCGGCCTCACAGAGTGCTGGGATTACAGGTGTGAGCCACCACACCTGGTCAGGAACATTGGGACTAGCAGGTGTCCTACAGAGTAGCACACAGATGGATAGGATGCCTCAAGAAGAGATGTGAGATGCCAAAGAAATTGTGTGCTTGGTGCCTCACCTCCTTCTGCTCCTTGGCCACAGATGGATCATACACCATCCACAGAACCCCTGAGTTTTGACCCCAATAGTGTATTCCTGGGAGGCGCTTTTGAGGCAGGGACCAAGAATGTAAGAACAGCAACAATGACCTCCCATCCCGACTTCTTGAGGATCTACTATGTATCAGGTCCTCGGCTAAGAGTTCTATATATAGTGTCATCCATCCAAGGTAAATTTTAGGGGGCTGGGAGTTTAGTATGGTTTTTGTGCTGCTCTGGCTAGAAAGTGCCTGGCTCCTAGTAGGGGCCTAATAAATAACTGTTGAATGAATAAATGAATGAATAAAGAACAAACAGATGATCTCTCACCAAGTTTCTACAACCCTCTGAGGTGGATACTATAATTATACCCATTTTATAGATAAAGAGAATGAGGCTCAGAGGGGTGAAGTCACTTGCCTAAGGTCATGTAGTGGAGAAATGTCAGGAAGTGGAAGACCTTTTTAATATTAGATCTTGGACTCTCATCCTCCACCCTGTAAGAAAGGGCTGGTTAGGACCTGGTCTAGGATGCCGGGCCTCTCCAGGGACAGCGTTGGCATTTGGGATTAGGGCTGAGTGTTCCACTTCCCCTGCTAGAAGCTGGTGCAGACCCCCAGCACAGTCCCCTTGCCAGGCTAGAAGCAGCTGCAGGAGGCAAGAGGAGACCTCCAGCACCTATGGGATCCTCGCACCAGGCTCAGTACAGGGAGGCAGCAGGGGCTTTTGGGCTCAGCAGTGCCCTGCCCACTGCCTGCTCAGTGTAAATGGGATTTAGGAAAGTTCAGGGATCTGGGTAGAGAAAAAACAAATGACTGGAATAAGACAAGGACAGTGAGGTGCCCAGGGGCAGAGTCTTCAGGGAAGAAGGGAGTTAATGAGGCTGGGGCTCCTCCAGGCCACTGCAGTGGCTCTAGGCCTTTTCAGTGGCTGGGGCTTCGAGGAGACATGGGTCTGAGATGCCCAGGGAAGGTGGAGCCCAGCTAGGGGATAAGAGCTGAGGAGGTAATTTGACTGGGAACCTTCCAGAACAGGCTTTGCTTTCCCAGGGACAAGAGTTGAGATGAAGAGATGCAGACTTTCTGTCCAAAGGGAACTCAGGACTGACTTGGGGCTGCAGGAGGGCTCAGTCCTTGGTGGTCAAGCAACAGGCATAGGCCAGGTGAAGGCAAAGCCAGGTGAACATTTGTGACCCCCATACCTGCCCTAGACTTACTGGTGCAGTTGGAAGATCAGTCTGTGATCCTGAGGGGGTGTCTCAGGACGCGGCATCTGTCTCAGAGGTGCCGCAGGGGTTAAGAGGAGGGGCTCTAGAGTTTCTGGGTTCAAATTCCGGCTCCTTCACCTCCCAGATGAATGAGCAAATTATCTTTGGTTTCATTATCTTAACAAAAAGGGGAAGAGAATAATATTTATCTCATAAGTGTTATGAGGTTCAAATGAGTATTTCATGTAAAATACTTAGAACCAAGTCCAGCACAGGGTAAGCACTGAGCAATTATTTTGATTATTGCTGTAAATCCATACAACTACTTTACAATGTAGGCAGTTTTATTATCCCCTTAGAACATAAGAGGGCTCAAGAGAACTGAGGCCAAGAGAGGGAGAGTAAGTTGCCTGAGATCACATGGGCAGTGAGTGGTGGAGCTGGGATTTGAACCCAGGCAGTCTGGGTCCAGAAACACACTCCTAATCAGGATGCTTTGTTGCTTCCTCTGGTGACTCTCTCTCCTGAGATGCTTAAACGAAGTGCCATATGTGAATGAAAATGCTTTGCAAACCACAAGGGACTCTCTAAACCCGAGGTGCTGTTTTCTATCTGTCCCCTTGCTACCTGTGGCGTGGCTTACAGGCACTGATAATTACATCTCTGACAGTACAAGCTATGAGAACCGTTAGCAGCAATTATATCTGTGATCACAACAGTAGGCATGAGTTAATGGGCTACTGTCGATTTTAATGACTGCTGAGCAATAATCTTCAACTATCCATCCATCCATCCATCCATCCTCCCACCCACCCATCCAACCATCCATTCAATGATGTGTTTTGAGCTTCCACTCAGTGCCAGGCACTGAACAACCCAGACATGGTCTCTGCCCTCCATGAGCCCACAGTGAGGAAGAGAGACAGTTAGCTCAGTGACTTCCCTGACTTGATGGCTTTGCTGTGGTGGAAAGTCCCAGATGCTGCGGATGCCCCAGCAGGAGACCTGACCTGGTCCAGGTTAAGAGAGAAAGTTTTTCCTCTCAATTCTGAGTAGGATTTTTTTTTTTTTTTTTCTGGAGGCACATCACGATTTAAGTCAAAAGATGAACCAGGAAGAAACTGAAATGTACAACTATTTGTCAGTAAAAATTTGGGAGGGACAGGAAGGGATGAGTGTGAGCCAGAACGGAAGGACAAAACTCTGGGAAAACAAAATCAGTTGTAAATCAGACAAAAACCAAAAAAAATCAGAACTCTGCCCTGAAGGTGACTGATCGATCATCCCTTCTCCGCTTCTTCTGATGTGACTGGCTCCTCCCTCTTCATCTCACAGACTCCTACACAAGGTCATCCCTGTCCTGGACATCTAGGTTTTTCCTTCTAAGCTGTGGTGCTAACTTTGGTATTTGCTCTGACTTGTTTGAAGATTGTGAGGTCTACTGGCGCAGAAGCACTTGCATGATGCAGTATCACTACAATCATCTGATAGATTGACGGAACCGAAGACAAGGTATTTGTGCAGAACCCACCAGGTGCCTGAATCCTGCGTCTGCCACGGAGCTGTGCAGAAGGCTGCACTATCTGGGCCTCTGCCTCCCTATCAGCTGCTGTCCCGTGCAGCTCCACTGTCCCCTCCTTGGAAGCCTTGCCTGGCCTCCTAGACTGAATAAATGCTCCCCACT